GGTTAGTTTATAAAGTATAGTTTAGTGTAGTAAATAAGTAACTTGCAAAGTATAGTAAAGTGTAGTCAGAAGATAGTTTATAAAGCAATATTAACGATTTATTTATTACTTTTTATTTAATTATAATATTAAATTCACCGTGAGTTAAGATTTCACAATATTTTCTAAGTTAATCATTGAAATTACTAAAGTCATTTCCTTTCAAATTTAAGTTAAAAATTAATTATTTATTGAAATTTTAAATAATCAATTACATCGTGTTATACGATACGATAATATAGCTATTGAAATAAATCACGCGAAAAGAATGCTCTTTCTCCGTTGAAATCTATCAGTCATTAGTCAAAATTATACAGTCTAGACAAAGTCTATAATGAACTTACTTTTTTTTTTTTATTTCTCGCTAGCGGAAAAATCTATCAATACTATTCAAGTAAAAATTTTATAAAAAAAAAAAAAAAAAGATTTTCTCGACTTTAACGAAAATTTTGACGAAACAACGAATCAAAGAAAAGAAGAAAAGAAAATTGTAAACGCTCATTTTTAAAGTGTCGAATCGCAATCAACAATTGGAAAATGGTGTTGCACGTTGTTTGATAAATTCGATGAACGAAAGTGGCAACAGTGGCTATTCCATTTTATCGGCAATTTCCTATTGCATCCGATGCAACAGCCTTGTTCGCAAATCACGGTGTCGCGTTCGAGCTGTCGTTATTACTTCTTATCAAGCGGACGTGTTAATGTAAACGCGGGCAACCGTGAAAACTGATGGCCGGCCAGCGCTCCGGACCGAGCGTAAATTCGGAATGACGTTAATTTTACCGTCTGACGGCGAAACGCGGTTATTTCGTGACGTTATAATACGGCGTAACGAGAGTTTCTGAATCAATTACGTCACGTGGAAACATCTCTTCCTCCTCTCGTTTTCAGGCTGATTAACAAGCCAGAGATTTCTCGAATTTCCAAATGTTCGATACGGGATTGCTCGTTCGAAATATTGGATATAGTTTCGGATTATATTGCCACGTGGAAATTTCCAGTCTGCACTCAATCCTGTCCCGGGAGATGATTTCATTGCTCGAAATGAAGATTTGTTTTTCGTTTGTTAAATTCTAACAAAATACTTTGGATACCATTGGCATACTGTTGGGTTGGATTATATTCCACATCTCTGGACATTTACAGATACATTTGGATTTATAAAATTTGTTTCAGCCTTTAAATAGGTACAACGAGTATTGAATTGGGATTTATTAATTGAATTTTGTTCTCCCCTTTGGTGCATTTTATTCCCTGCTGTTTCTTCAGATTCATTTAATTTATATTGCGAAAACAAATGTGAACTAGAGCCAAAGGATCCAGAAATAGTAAAGTAACGCGCGATAGAAATTAATTTGTTCTTCTCTAAAAAAAAAAAAAAAAGAAATCATTGTCGTTGAAATATGTAGGCGAACGAGAGAGCTTACAGGGCGCAAGGTCCTCAACCGTGATTCAAATATCGCGCGCTTTATTTATTTATTTATTAATTGTCCGAGTGCCAGTTTGTGACGAGCCATATTATCGGCGCCATAAGCACGCAGTTTTCGCCGGACGGCCGAATAATTATTTCGCGGTATGCGAAACGCGCCCCTCTACGAAATCGCCCCGGTAATAACCGGAACGGAATTATCCACGTGATACGAGTCAAGCTTCGTCCCTCCGCGCGCCGTCGAAATTAATTACGATTGAAACTGGGTCGTGTCGCGCCTCGCTTTCGTCATATTTTGATTGAAGATTTCCCGATCGCGTGTGCCACGCGGCTTGACTGACGTTGACAAATTAAATAAATCGTTCGTCGCTCATCCATAGCGCAAAGTGTCACTCGCACGCGTCTTTGTTTCACGAGATTACTCTCTCTATCTCTCTTTCTCTTCCCTTGTGCGCAAGGTGGCGTACACACACACACGCGCGAGCGAGTGTGTTGTTTCGTCGAATTATTTTTATTGCCCTGAAATACGTAATCACGCGTCCTCGTTTTCCTCATTTTTCCTGCTGGAATCCGCTGTGAATCCGCTTGTTCGGGTGATCGAGAGCGAAGTATCGCGATATCATCGCGGGGAACGTTTGATGCGCGAGTGATCGGTTCGATTGAGAGTGATTAATTGCGGTTTCGAAAGATTTATGGAACGACGGGGAAAAACGCGGGGAACTATAATTCGTGTATTTAGATTGTTTGTATAAATTATTTATACCTGTACGTGGTCTTGTTGCTTGCCGTTTGATTTATTTACTTAGAGCTATGATTGAAAGTTTGCACATGTCTTTTTTTTTTTGTAAACTTACGGAGCTCATCGATTTTACGATTTGTTAATTCGATTAATTTGGGCAGTTGGATTTTTCCAGAAATAATCCATTATCCAATCATTCTAAAACACAGACCGAGTAATTACGTTAATCATTCGTTCCGACAATTATCAATCCTATCAAATGTATCGGGCTAATTATCGAGTTTCCTCAAACGATGTTTCATTTTTAATGCTCGGCGCGAATTATTAATACCCATAAAACATGTCCAATCGATATATCCTCCATTTATACGAAACACGCGAATTCCAATAAATTGCAACGATTCTCTTTAAACGATACGTTTGTAATAAGCTTGTAATAAATCATTGTTGACATTGTAAAACATTCACGACGAAATTCTTCTAAACTCCCGGAAATATTCCCGGAATTGAAAATTTTATATCGAAATTCTGAAGACTGTAGTACGTTTCAATGTAATTTAAATTCATCATTTTCTATTTAAAAAAATTCTCGTGTCTGTAATGAAACTTCGAGAATTTTAATATCCCTCAAATTACGTAATTTACGTTTAATTTTACTTTATTGAAAAGAAATTTTTTATTTTAAAGTAAGTTACACATACGTTCAAATTCAATTTATGATTGCACGTCGAAATTTCAAATAACTTTTACATCTCAGTTCAGTTTCTCTTTTATTAAAAAAAAAAGTCTCCATTGACGATTACGACAATAATCATAAAATTTATCTGGTTCTTCTTGTTACAAAAAAATCTCCATTGATGATTACGATAATAATTATAAAATTTAAATTATTATTCGTTCAATTCGATCTTTTCCATTTACAGAAATTCCCGTGTCTATAACGAAACTTCAAGGATCTTAATATCCTTCAATAATAGTAATTTATGTTTAATCTTACTTTATCAATGAGCAATTTTTTATTTCAAAAGTTACGATAATAATCATAAAATTTATTTGGTTCTTCTTGTTACAAAAAAACCTCCATTGATGATTACGATAATAATTATAAAATTGAAATTATTATTCGTTCAATTCGATCTTTTCCATTTACAAAAATTCCCGTGTCTATAACGAAACTTCAAGGATCTTAATATCCTTCAATAATAGTAATTTATGTTTAATCTTACTTTATTAATGAGCAATTTTTTATTTCAAAAGTTACGATAATAATCATAAAATTTATCTGGTTCTTCTTGTTACAAAAAAACCTCCATTGATGATTACGATAATAATTATAAAATTGAAATTATTATTCGTTCAATTCGATCTTTTCCATTTACAAAAATTCCCGTGTCTATAACGAAACTTCAAGGATCTTAATATCCTTCAATAATAGTAATTTATGTTTAATCTTACTTTATTAATGAGCAATTTTTTATTTCAAAAGTTACGATAATAATCATAAAATTTATCTGGTTCTTCTTGTTACAAAAAAACCTCCATTGATGATTACGATAATAATTATAAAATTGAAATTATTATTCGTTCAATTCGATCTTTTCCATTTACAGAAATTCCCATGTCTATAACGAAACTTCAAGGATCTTAATATCCTTCAATAATAGTAATTTATGTTTAATCTTACTTTATCAATGAGCAATTTTTTATTTCAAAAGTTACACATTTATCAAAAGAAATTGATGATTACCACAATGACGGTAAAATTTAAATTATCATTCGTTATTTATTCAAATTGTTAAATTTCTCCACTCCCGAAGCGAAGCTTTACATCAACTATGGAATTAAGAAACTTAATCGAAGCTTAATAGATAGTTAACGTGGAATCGATACGATCGACGATGCATCTCGATGGTAAAAACGAGCGTGTCGAAATCAGGCTTTAAAAATCGATCGACTTTCTTCGGGGGTTTATCGAGAATCGACGATCGAAAATGATCGAAGCGATCATACTTCGTCCCACCTGTGCATACGCACGCCGATAGCGGCATTATGCCAGGAGAATGGTCGTTGCTCGTGCCGCTTCATAAATCGCTCGATTTATCGTTGCTGACTCACCGGGATCCATTCGCGGTGCATTGCTGCCCCTTGGGGCCATTCCGTTGGACCCCGGTGACCTACGTGGATACTTCGACAATTTTCTTCGACCTCTGACGAGCTTTCGCTCTCTGCTTCCTTTTTTTTTCTTTCTTTTTCTTTTCTTTTTGTTTCGACGGTGATTATTCTCGATCGGTTTTCTTGCGAGCGACGAACCGTATCTCGGGAAAAGAGCACGTTACAGACAATTATTGTGCTAAAGTTGTGCGAGGGAATTCTCTGTCTTACGTTTTCCGTTCGTTGTTACTCAATTCTGAAGTTGAACGATAATTTACAGAATATAGACGTGTAAACGTGTGAAATCAAAGATCGACAAAAGTTTCAAGGGGAGGGGATTAGAAACGACAAAGTCAGAAAAAGTAAATGGAGATATGAGAAAGGAATTGTTAACTTTTCTTTGTAATTCATGCAACTGCTGGAAAAGAATTAATTGAGGGACATTTATCAAATATCAAATATCGAAGAAAACAATTGTGCAATTCTGAAAGAGCGAGGGCTGTGAATTCCTTTCCCAGACCCCCGACAGTTAAAGATATTTCTAACTAAGTATAAATACAAAGATTCTACTGTACATTAATAAATTATTTAACAAAGAGAATCGAAATACCGATACTACGAAGAAACTGGATTTATACTCACGTTGAAGTCGGCCGAGCATTTTACCAAATCAGCTGGATGTCCGGAATAGAGCTTCAGGGATTGCAGTAGACCCTTTAAATAAACAATCAGGAAATAGTAGACGATTGCACGGTACACATGATTCGTCATGTTTCTTCTCGAGTCTCGCTTCGCTCCGCTTTTTCGCTGTTCACGAGGAAACACAATGGTCACTGTTCTCAAAAATGGCACATTTTTCAACAAACATCAAAAACCGAACGGGCTGTCGAGTTGTTTAACAACTATAATATATATATATATATACATTTGAATAAATCTATATTAGAAAATACACGATAAAGGATCAGTAATTAACATTGAGTTAAATAAATGTTGCTTTTTGGAATACACTTAACGATTAATTTATAGAGTACTCATTATTGCATTATAGAATTGGCTTAAAAAGATTTTGGGATGAAAACACGTCTCAAGCATAATAATAAAACGTGTGGAAAATGCTGACTGGAAAGGTCATGTAACTGTACACTATGAAAAATGTTGAGACAGAAATTGGGAAACATATATTACATATGTACACAATGCAGTAAATATTCTTGAAGAATATATACATATCAAACATTAATATATATACATTTCTTTTAAAAATGACTCTGTAAGAAATAATAATGAATCAAATATTCCATATAACGCGAAATCTTTTTACGAATAATTAACTTTCAAGTCTAATACATAGTTTTCGTTCTCATAAAAAGGAAAAAAAGAAAATTCTGCTCTCAGTTGATCTCTTTTTGAAAAGGTTAATTCAAATGCCTGAAGGTCTAATAATATAATTATATTCATATAATAATATAATTATATTCATATAATATAATATAATTATATTCATATAATATACTATAATATAATAATATAATTATATTAATATACAATATAATTAAAATTAAAATATAATATAATAATATAATTATATTAATATACAATATAATTAAAATAAAAATATAATATAATTATATTAATACACAATATAATTAAAATTAAAATATAATATAATTAGAAAAATTATATCCTGTCGAATTTATATTAAACAATCGCTTTAAACAACACGTGATCGATCATAATCTTATATAGACAAGAAACTTTGCAAAATTTCGTCCAGAAGGGAAACTTCCTAAGTCTGGATTCTTATTTGCGTGTAAGAAGCCACTTGCTCGCTTGGTTTTAATAATAAATCGATCCTCATCGATGCACGTCACGCGACAGAAACATCTTGCAACCTCCGAACGACAACGGAATCCACTTCTCCATCGTTCCCTCGACCCTTCTTTCTCCATCCCTGCCCACCCCACACTTTGGGCGGATAATACGCTTATCAATCGCGCGAATTGAATTCGCGAGGAAGCCATTTATCAACGACCGGAACGGGTAATCGCGAGAAAAATACACAATATTTTTGCGATAACGAATTTCGGTCGCGTGATTCGGATCCGCCGGCGGGATAAATTTCGGCGCCGCGTGTTTCGCGATTTATTTCGCGACAAATCTGGATTATGCATCACGAAACGCCCGGCTCGCGATCGCGCTGACGTTTACATCAGGATGTAAGCTCCTCTACACGGATCCGCAAATATTTTTTCGTCGTCGATAAACCTGCGCCGCGTTCTCACGTCGCGTCGCGTATAAATCACGCTTTCGCGAGTGTGAAACAAACGTAATTAACGTTAATTTGCCAAAAGGAATGGCTCGATTTGCACACATAGACACAGGGTGGCGTGTTCAGCTCAAATTATTTTCAGTGAATCTAAGCAGAATGTAATTTACAATTTACAATTTTATAGTCGTTATATAAACGTTTAATTCGAATATTATAGTGGTAGATGAAAGTTGTGAGTAACGTCTCAGAATATTGATAAAAGAACATTTAATACAAGTATAGTAGATTATTCGTTATCACATAGATAAATATATGAACATTAATTTCCTTTTATCCGTCACTGTATTACACGAAGAAAATATTTTCGTCTCACTTTTAAATGTCATTCTAAAAATTTGGATGGTGGTCAGATTTTTGAACACTGTGTGAAAAAAAAAAAAGACGAACTCGCGCGCCGAAAATGATCGAAAACTGCTGCTTTGAATATTAATTGAAAAAAAGAAGTGGAGAGAAATAACTTTCACACTCTATCAACGCATAATTTCATCAGCTTTTCAACGATCTTGTTCCAGTTGTAATTAACCGGCAGCTCGGTGATTCGACTAACAATTTGGACATATGGAAAATATTCTGCGAGTGTTGTCCTGATTGATTCAATTTTGCTTTATTTTTTTTCATTTCTGTTTTAGCTTGAAACTTTGATTGAAAGTTTTGCATGGACTGGTGCAGTTTTTCCTCGCGATCATGAAAGCAATCGAATAAATTCGTTTAAGGGTTACTGTACTGTGTTTTTTCTTTGCACTGTTTATCTTTAGGCGGATTTTAATCTTCTTTTTCTTTCTTTGAAAACAAATTTACTTAATGACCGTGCAATTACTACAGAATAATCATACGAAATGTCTTGTAAAGGATTATTTTTATGAGTTTCGTTTCGATATTTGAGGTTTCGTGTATTTTTCTACATTGACAAAATCTGGTTGATATGTTTTTGTCTAAAAGAAATTCAGGAGTGTTGCTATATGTGAAACGATTTCTTCCTCTATCTCTGGTACTTGTTCATTCGAAACAATTAAATGCCATTTCTTAATATTAAATCCACTTAGTTCATTTATTGTTTGTAAAATTTTGATACGAGAAAATTATTAAATGTCTCGATTCGAAATCAAATCATTCGTGGCAAAAGTACAGAATGTTTAGCTTTAGAAAGTGAAGTATTTTTCCAACCCGAATAACCTCTAACCATGCAATACTTCATCAATATTTGATTATATTTCATCGTATTATTCTTTAATCGTTTCTACGTATCATCAATATCTTTCCAATTTTTATTAATAAATATAACTGAAAGCGAGCTTCTCTCGATGAAATCGAAAACGCTAATAAAAATTTCCTCTCTCAACTACCAAGCTCTTCTCGTAAATATCAGACAGGGAGGTAACGAATTTACGTTCCGCACGCGTAACAAACCGCAACGCGTTAACCAACCTTAAACCACACAACGTTCTATCTTCATCAATAGCTTTCTACCATTTTACCATTTTATTCAATCGTGACTTCTATATTTTGTCAATACCTCTTTCGTATTTCGTACTAAACAATATTACCCGAGAGCACGATTTTTTCAGAAATTGCTAGTGAGAATTTCGACTTCCACTTTCAAAACCTCCTTGAATTCTCTATATACAATATAACCGAATATTCGTATTATTTCATAAATTCTCCCTATATTTTACCTATATCTATTCATATATCTATGAATATATTTATTCATCTCTTCGTACTAAATGTATCAACCGAACGAGATCCTCCCTCCGATGGTCCAAACCATCCAATCAAAATTTCCTCTTCGAAGTACACCCTCAAGAAATAAATACATACCTCGTAAATATCGCGTGGAAACGTAACAAACCCTCCGCAACGTGGAATGATCGCGGGAGTCACGATACAGAACGATGCAGGATAGAAAGAAAAGAAAAGAAAAAAAAAACGAAAAGAAAAAGAAAGAAAGAGAAACGAGAATTCGCGATTTATCCACGGTCGGCAAACGAATCCAGCGCGTTTTATCCGCGAAAAAAGAAAGCGTCGCGTCGAAACGTCGCATCGATCATTCGGGAAAGTGTTGGCGGGGATCGATCGAACTTCCTAAATGGGCCGCGGTAACGCGCGCGGTTTTTGTGTCCCTCTCCATCTCGTCGCTAGGTACAAGGTTTTTTTCCAGGTTAGTCGTCGCGCGGCTGGTACGTCGCGGATTCCTTCACTCAGAAGGAATCCCATCTCCGTCGTTCTTCTTCCCTTCCTGTTCGTTTCCTCGCGTCCGAGCGGATTTTCACCGGGCAAAAAGTCGTTTTTCGCGTCGCGCCGGCGTTTCTTTTTTTTTTTTTTTTTT